AGATTGAGCGACGAGAGATGTCATCACTCGAGATGAAGAGATGGGTTTAAGGTTCTGATGGAATATAATATTGGGAGATTTAAGTTTAAATACAATGGAGATCTGAAAAGATAACCAGGGACCCTTGAGAAAAGCGGCGCAATAGTCGAGATAGAGTTTTTCGAAAAAAATTTAGAGCAGTTGGTAGAGAATGGGTCTCATAACCTGTTGCGATGGACTAGAGCACACGAGTGAAATGCGGAAAGGGTAATAGCCTTAGTATTTCATGAGACAACACAAACATAAGAAAAAGACAAAAGAAAACAAAGATAGACCTACCTAGAGCACACGAGTGAAATGCGGAAAGGGTGAGGAGAAAAGCCCTTTCCTGGTGTGGCTCTAGGAAGTCTATATACAAAGTTTGATACGTAAGCTTTATGTAATAGCTTAGTAGAAAGAGAACACAAGTAGATTGATCCGATGAGAAATAGCGATCACTGATCATTGATCAGAGGATCAGATGAGAAACACTAGATGGTCTACAAATGATGAGATGTGAAGGAAGATGGTAAGCACATCAATCGTGAGAAAGATAATGGAATACAGCGATGTTCAGGTAATGACGTCGTGACTATTCCAACAAGCTGGAGGCGGAGCTATCGGGGAGAGAGACCGAGATCTTATACTCCACAGCAAGGATGGGTCTTGGGAACGTATTTCCGAGCGGCATACCGGCTATCTACCTCTGCGGTATCCGATTCTATTTCCGTGGGGTCAAGCCGGCTACGATGAATTTTATAGGGTGCCAACGCCAGATAGTAAGTTGCTCTGATAAGTTGGTGACAGACAATAAGTTAACACAAAGACTTCACAGATGACGGTCCAACAGTTAGCTCGCTACAGTGGTTTGCTTATTTGCTGTTCCAGCGCAAAGACGAATTCTCCGCAATTCTATCATCAAAAATGTTACTCCAAGAGTTTTCAATCGACCTTTATGCATGCGTTGAAAATCAAAGGTTAACATGGTTTCGGCTTAATCAAGATGTTCTTTATGCAGAACTTTACTCTGGGGCAAAAGAATCGCTTGGTCGAAACGATTTCAAAATTGGCCGGCGTGTCATCCTACCGGCGGGCCATATTGGTGGAGCAAGGCATATGACGCAGCTTTACCATGACGCAATGGCCCTGGTGCGTCATTTCGGACAACCGTCGTATTTTATTACGATGACAGCCAACAATAATTGGCCCGAAATACAATCTGCATTGCTGCCCGGTCAAATAGCCATGGATCGGCCAGATATAATGGTGAGGGTGTTCCAAATGAAAATGAAGGCATTGATGAAAGACGTCAACAAGCATGGTCGATTGGGCAAGTGCCTTTCACATGTACGAACCATCGAGTTCCAAAACCGTGGGCGACCTCACCTCCACTTCATCCCCATCATGGAGGCGGTGTCGTGTCCTAGAACACCCGACGCTGTTGATTTAGTTGTCCGCGCCGAGATACCGGATCGCGAAGAAGAGCCTGACCTTTGGGAAATTGTAACAAAATCGATGCTTCATGGACCTTGCGGCGAAGGCAGTAGTTGTTGGAGAAAGAATCAATGCCGGTTTAATTTTCCGAAAGACTATGCGGAGGAGACAACTATGACCGACGATTCCTATCCGAACTATCGACGTCGAAATGATGGCAAAAATTTTAAAAAGGGTGGCTACACTTATACCAACAGAGATGTTGTGCCGTACAATCCGTACTTATTACTGAAGTTCAATTGTCACATAAATGTGGAAGTCGCCTCAAGCATGCAAGCGCTGAAGTATCTGTACAAATACATTACTAAAGGGCATGATCGGGCCGCACTTTCAATCACAGCAGAAAACGAGATAGATACTTATGTTGATGGTCGGACATTGACAGGCACCAAAGGTGAGTAAAGCAGTTGATGAATATTTGAACGCAGCTAACGCCGTCTTACCGGGCAGCCTGTTGGAGGTTGTTTGAATTTTGGATGGCATCACGCTTCCCGGCCGTGCAGAAATTATCGGTTCATATGCCGCGAGAAAACACGGTTTACTTCAAGAAACAATGGTCTCTCAAGAATCAAACACTACACCAATGTC